TGGGCGACGAGAGGAGCCCCCGCCAGAGGCCGCCACAACCATTGCACTCGAGTACTTCAGGACAAGCCGGATCAGGAGGTGGAAACATGGGGCCTCAGGGCGGCCACCAGTGCCCAGGCTGGTCCCTGCCCTGGCCGGCCGCCACCCTCCCTGATCCAGCCTCACTGCAAGCCGACCCTGCATCTAGTTCCTTCTCTCCAGACTGCCCCCCTCCCAGGTCCTAGAGGGCCCCTGCAGCATCAAATGGTTGACTTTAGTCTTTGCTTAAATTAAAAAATTAAAATATATATACATATATATACTGTACACACAGGACAATAACAGAGAGTGTTGAAAAGGGAAGTGAGGGGGTGGGACAGGAGCGAGGCAGGCGAGGCTGTGGCCAGGGCTGAGAGGAAGGAAGCGGGGCTGGGCGAAGGGATCCAGGGAGAGCAGGAGGGGATGCGGTTAGGGGACCAGAATGGGGGGCGATTTATCTTACAATAAAAACAGGAGTCAGACCTCAGCAGAGTAGGACTCTGGGGCCCCCAGAGGGCCCTCCCGCGCTGAGTGGGGGGAATGGGCTTGGGGCAGACAGGGTGGGCGGGGAGCTCGGCTTCAGGTTCAGGTGGCGATGGTCCCGGGTCCGAGGGAGGAGGGCTGCAGTCTCAGCTTCTCCGTGACTTTGAGTGTTGAATAAGCCACTGTAGGGTGATGTCTGAGGAGGGACACGAGAGAAGGTTACGAGACCTTCACGTGCTGGGCAAGCCGCGGTGGAGAGCAGGGGCAGGAAGTAAGCCCAAGGCTTCCCTGATGCAGCCAGGAGGCGGGCCTAAACCATCAGGGAACCAGAGCTACCTAGCTCCGAGCAGCGCCAGATGATGGGAGGGGAATCTGGGTACCATGATCTGGACAGAGTCACAGCACGTGCCAGCCAGGAGGGGCCAGATCACCCGCTCCCACCCGTGACTTCAGAGGCGAGGAAGTGAGGCCCGGGCAGCTGAGTGATTTGATTATCCCCTACACCGGCAGTCTGGGCACAGCTGGGTCTTACTCAGAATCTGGGCTTCCACTGCCTGCTCTACCCAAGAACCACAGAGCTTCTTTGGGCTTAAAGAAAAGTCATGGGGGGCTGGTGGGTGGTGCAGTGGTTAAGGTGCTAGACTCCCACATGGTCAACCATGGTTCGAGTCCTGGACCTTGGAGGCTTGCTTTCTTACTTTCTCTCTCTGATCAAATTACATAATAATATTAACAAATAGAATAAATAATTCTTAAAGAGAAAGAAAGAAAAGCCGTGGGGCAAGAACTACTATGCTAAAACACTTCAAAGGTCTCTTTCCTCCTCTCCTTCCCTGGGCCACTCGGAATGTCAGCCAGTCCCCCCAAGCCCAGGCACCTATGTTGTCCTTTTCTTTGCAGGAGATGGAGTAGCAGCAGATCTCTCGGTCCTGGATGGCAGACAGATTCCTGGGGGAAAGCACAGCAGAGTCAGCCTGGCGAGCCCTGCCCAGGACCTTTGGGGCCTGGGGCCTGGGGCCTGGGGCCTGGGGTCAGGTCAGGGCCTTGCTCTTGCTCAAGGGCTCCACGGGAGAGGGTGACGCTCCTGGAAAGGGGGGCTCTGCTGCCACCGCATGGCGAACACTGAGAACAGCACAGCCCAGCCAGTGACTAGGGAATGGGGAGAGGCAGGACAGTCACCAAACTCACATTTTCTCAATCAGCTCCTTCTCATCCAGAGCTCCCGGGAGGTCTCGCTTGTTACCTAGGACCAAGACCTACAGAGGAGGGGGCAAGAGGTCAGGGCTAGGGCAGCTGTGCTAGGGTGTCTGGGTGGTAGGCTGGCTTCCGTGGCCCACCATTCCCTCCCACCCCCCACGCCCCCAGCCTCTCCGCCCGCTCCAACGACTCCAGCACTCCTCCCTGTGGCCCAGGTTCGCTGACCGGGATGCCCTGCAGCTGAGGTTTGTCCAGTAGGTTGTGGAGCTCATTCTTGGAGGCCTCGATCTTCTCCTGGTCAGCAGCATCCACCATGTACCTGGGGAACAGGCGAGGTGGGGACAAGCACGTTGGCACCCTGGGCTGAGAGGCAGGAAGGAAAAGGAGCTGCTGGGACACAAGCAGACGTCTTGTTCGCCTTGGTCACCTCAGGACCCACGGGCTGTCCTGCCTGGTGTGAAGCAGGCACTCCGTGGGGGTTTTCTGAACCCATGGAGTGAAAATTGCAGGAGCTCCTGGGTCTGCCATCAATCATCCTGTCCCCTTGAAGTCCTTCCCAAAGCAGCTACTACTTGTGGGCAAGCGTGGGCCCCTTGAGATTACTCCAAGTCCCTCCCAAAGTGACTCACGCAAGTTTTCATAGAAAGACCAGGTAAGGTCAGGTTAAAAAAAGCAAATGAAACCCCAAAAAGCAAATGAAAAAGAATTTCTTTTCTTTTTTTTACGGATTTTTTGCCATAGGGTGTGTGTGGTCTCTGGAAGAGACAGAGAGAGGAAAAGTGAGAAAGCACTCCCCAGGGGGCATGGCCACACCGCTATCCCTTCTCCTCCATTCACCTCACGGGTTTTGGGGTAAGCACACACATGTACCCAACGTGTTTTTCAGACCACGAGGTTTGGGACTCAAGCCACAGAATTGGCCATGTGGGATCCAGTGCCTTTAACCACCATACCACCTGTTGGCCCCCAAATTCCAGAATTTTTTTTTTTTTTGAGAGGTTTTCACTATAAGGTGCATGCGCTCACCAGAAAGACAGAGACAGAGAGGCAGAAAGCAAGAAATCACCCCCCGGGGGGATGGCCACGCCGCAATCCCTTTCTCCTCCATTCTCCTCACGGGATCTTGGGCACGCACACACATGTGCCCAGCGTGAGTTTAAGTCACCGGGTCCAGGACTCAAACCTCAGTCACCTACATGGGAGTCCAGCGACATAGCCATTATGCTAACTGCTATTCCCAATTCCAGAATTTCTTTCTGCAAGACACTTGTTTAAAATCAGATTTAAAAAATAATCTAGTGTCAGGACCAGCAGTTGGCATAATGGCTATGTCATTGGACTCCCATGTAGTCGACCACAGTTCGAGTCCTGGACCCAGTGACTTAAACTCACGTTGAGTGTGTGTGCATGCACGCGTGCCCAAGATCCCAAGAGGAGAATGGAGAAGAAGGGATTGTGGCGTGGCCATCCCCCTGGGGGGTGATTTCTCGCTTTCTGTCTCTCTGTCTGTCTGGCGAGCGCACAAGCCCTATAGCAAAAACCTCTCAAAAAAAAAAAAAAATCTAGTGTCTGTTTTATTAGGAAAACTAAATCATTTAGCATCTGGGCATATATAGGGGGAACTTCAAAAAGTTTGCAGAAAAATAAAAGTACAAGCTTATTTGGGTGCCCCAACCAGTGAAACCCATGTATAGTTTTTTCATAACATGTAGTTTCCATGAATTGTTTGAAGACCTCCTCATCTATCTACAGAGTAAGACTGTTTTCCAAAAGCAAGGGAATGAAGCATTTAGGCCACACAAAAGCCACGACAGTGGTGACTCTGGGTTGGGTGAGGTGGAGGACACTGCAGAGGGCTTCGCAGGGACACTCAGTTCCCAGATGGGGCAGTGCGTGTCCAGGCCACTTCTCTGGTAAGAAACCAGCACACACAGTGAAGGCGGGCTGTGCCCAGACAGGTGCAGGAGCTGAGGGTTCTGCCCTATCTGGCGCCCTGCCTCTGAAGTCCTGCGACTGGGGAAACCCAGTACCTGGCAGGTACCAGGCTACAGATCCTGTGGGCCCCACCCACCCTGTACTTACACAATGGCGCTCACTCCTCGGCAGTAGCGCTCCCACATGCTGCGGAAACGGGGTTGTCCCCCGATGTCCCAGAGCTGAGCAAGAGAAGGATGAGGAGGCCTCAGTCACAGGCAAGCAGCCAAACCCACCGTTTCCCCCTAGATGTACAGAGTGTTGCCTGTTGAGGTTCTCCTGCCACCCGGCTGGGACTGCAGAAGCGTGCCACTCTCCAGGCGCCACCCTCCTGCCTCCACCTCCTGAGTGTCTGGGGTCACAGGCATATGCCACCACAACCAGCTCTTCTAGAGTCTTGGTACAAATGCCAGATTGGCCTTAAACTTGCAATCCACCTGTCTCGGCCTCCCTAGGTTACTAGATAACAGGTGCACATCACTGAACGTAGCCTTCAGGTTGGACCAGGAATCAAACCCACGTGGTCTCAGCTTGCAGAGCAGTCTTCCTAACATACGCACTGATGGCTGGGCCCCCAAATTCATATTGGCTCCAGACAGCTCCTCCTAACCTGCCCTACTCCCCTATTCCTCCCAGCTTTTTTCTCTCCAGTTCTTCTCCCGTCTCCCCTGTCTTGAATTTCAGCCCCTGATTCCTTGCTCCCCTGAGGTGCTCTTCCCAGGAGCCTCAGCTGCCCTCCCACCAGCGCTCCACAGCCCCTAACCGGTGCCTCACCTTGATGGTCACATTCCCTTTGGTGATTTTGCGCATGTTGAAACCCACGGTGGGGATCATGTCCTCATTGAACTGTCCTGACTGGAGAGAAGAGCCAGAATTGGAAAAGTTGCAAAAATTGACAGGACCCGGACACACCTTTCCTGACAGCCACAGACCAAGAAGCTGCGAGAATAACAGAGGTCAGGCATGCCTCTGACTTCCACTGGGGGAGGGGAGTCTCCCAGGAGCCCCCTCTTGTACATCCCTTGCTTTCAGGCAGGACGGGCCATCACTGGCCTAAGTGTCCAGCCCACCTGGGGATACTCTGGGAAAAGGTTCATCTTTGCCAGATGACCTCAGAGTCTCGCAATCTGGACTGGGAGAAAATTCCTGAGGTCTACCATGCAGCTCTTAGCCGTAACGGCAGCTTCTTGCCTGTGTCTGGTCTTTAGTGAAGAGGAAGAATAAATCACCTCCCAGGAAAAGAACCTCAACAGGTCACGTCCTAACAGCCCGGGAGGAGCGCGAGGAAAGTGGACAGACTTTCTAACCTTATCCGAAATGCTTGGGCCCGCATGTGTTTAGGTTTGGGATGTTTTGTAAGATTCCGGACTATCTGCCCATGCATAATGAGATTTCTTGGGGATGGGAACCAGTCCAAACATGAAAGTCATTTATGTTTCATATACACATAGCCCAAGGTTCATTTGAATTTTATGCAATATTTTTTTGGATTGAAGCATTTGACTGCAGTCTTCCACTTGAGCTGTCGGGTGGGCATTTATAAAGTTTGGGATTTTGGAGCACTTCACATTTCAGATTCTCAGATTAGGGATGCTTGACCCTAGACAGTATATATAGAAGTCAAACCTTTTTTTGGGGGGGAAGCACACTGGCCACCCCCTAATGCATGCCAAGCAGCGTCCGGGTTGTGCACAGTTTCGCTCTGTACTTGTCTCTGCGTGCGAGGACGGACGCTCTGCACTCTGCATTATCTGTTTACTCACGCGTCTCTCCACTACACTGAAAGCTTCTTGGGCAGAGGACTCAGGTCTATGGGAACAGTGCTAGCAAGTGTTTGCTGACTACTTGAGAGTTGCTTGTCATTCCATTTTCCATTTTCAAATTACAATCATTTTCACTTCTCCCCTTCACACTGTCTCAGATCAGGGGGTTTTTCTAGACTAGCCACAGGCTTAAAAAAGCCCAGACCCAAATCCCCCATGCTCACCACAGGACACTTCTGCTAGCCCCTCTCTCCACCCACGCACTCACCACGCCCAGAGCAGGATGAGGGACGGAGCTCACCTAGCCTTGACCCGGAAGGTGACAGCCTGTGCCTTCACCACACCCACTCCTCTGACCAGGTAGTGGGAATAATTTGGTGGGTCACATACAGGGTTCAAGGGCTCTGACCATTAGCCAAAGTGAAGGAGATGATCAGTTCTTACTCAGAACTTGCAGGTTCAGATGAAGATCCCGGGACCCCAGTTGAACAGGAGTGCATCATCTCCCTTCGATCTGCAGAAATCCCCCATTCGCCAAGGTCCTAGAACTGAATACTCATGGCCGACGCCGAATGCCCAGAACAGGGGTCCTGGGGTCCGAGTTAGGCTCAGAGATGCCCTGCACCCCTGCGACTGTACATACCCCTGTGTGTACGGTTCGTCTGCACACTTTTCTGAAGGAAGAGTCTACACCTTTTCTCAGCAATCAAAAGGGCCCAAGAGCCCCTGAAAGTTAGGAATTAGTGAGGAAGAGGAGGTGCCTTCAGGAGGGCTCTTCTCTTCCGGTTCAATAAGGAGAAACAAATGTGCTCTGATTACCCAAAGCCCCAGCAGGTCGCCAAGGTGTTATGCACCTGCTGGACTGAAGTCCACCCCCTCCCCAACCCCAACCCCATCTAGGCTGATTAAGAACATCGAGCGAGCGTGAGTAAAGAAGCCTAGTTCTTACCGCGTACCAGCTTGGACAGACGCTTTAACCTCTCTGGGCCTTAGGGTTTCTTACTGTAAAGCGGGGAGAAGGGTTTTGGTCTCCTAGGGACAGTGAATAGGGCCCACGAAGTACTTAAAAAATGGATTTGCTATAGCATGGGGAGCCATCAGGGCTCTTTGGCAATAGCAGGCCCACAGGCTCCCAAATAAATGAGGAGCCTGGCAAAATGCGTGGCGGGGGATGCCAGGAGACCCTCCAGGGAGCCAGGCTCCCAGCACCAGCCGCTCCTGTTCAACTGTGAATGGAGCTCAGCTGGAATTGGGTCAAAACTCCATCTTCCTAGGACTCCCACTTGTTCCTAAATCCCCTCAGGAACCACAAGACTAGTGACTCCATAGGACAGTCTTTATACCTTAAAATATATGAAATTGACCCTCCTGTTTCTCCTGGGCTAAACACCTTCCGCCTTTCTAGCATCACGACCTTTTCAGAACTCAAAAGGTCAGTGTTGGGTGCTCAGAAGCACTGTGAAGGCTCTGGTTTCTTTCCAGCTCACATTAACCTGGTAAGCAGTTAAGCTTCAACTCAAAATTTGTTTGTTTGTTTTTTACCACAGGGCATGTGTGCTCTCTGGAGAGAGACAGAGGGAGGGAAAGTGAGAAATCGCCCCCTAGGGAGGATGGCCATGCCACAATCCCTTCTTCTCTTGAGATCTTGAGCACGCATGCATGCACGGTAGCGTGATGTTCTAGCCTCAGGGTCTGGCATTTGAACTAGGGTCAATCATGTGGGAGTCCAGTGCCTTAACCAACATGCTACCTGCTGTCCCCAGCTTCAACTCATTTCTATTTACAGTCAGATGGCAAGGAGGGAGTTGGAAACAAAAATTCCAATGGGGAAGAAGCTGAGACAAAGGCCAAACGAGCAGGTAAAGGTGATTCAGAAAGTCAGAAGTGGGCGTGGGAACGGGGCCGGGGGTTCCTGACTTCATTTCTTCCTGGAAGATACTTTTCCGTGATTATACACGGGAAGATGAAATGCCAGCGTGGTCACCCTGGAAGAACTGAGAATACAGGGGGTTACCCTGACACTGGAATTCCAACTGCAATCCACTGGCGGTGGCTTTTCCTGGGAAGCTTCTTTAAGGGAGGGAAATGCAACCTGCCCTTTCAGGATGTGCCAGCTGAAGCAGCAACTGTAATATGAAGGGGGAATTTATGAGCCGAGGAGGGGGTATTTCCTCTGGTCAAGGAACTCTTCTATTTATGCATTTTTTTAATGCCGAGGGTGCATGTACTTGCCAGAGACAGACAGAAAGAGAGGACAAAAGCACCCCCCCCAATGGGGTGTGGCCGTGTCATCGCTTCTCCCCCATCTATGAATCCTGTCAGGGTTTTGGGCACACACGCATATGCACCCAGTATGTTTTTCAAACCTCTAGGTCTGCGATTCAAACTGTGATTGCCATGTGGGGGATCCAGCTTCCTAACCACTAGGCTATGGAGCCAGCCCCATAAAGAAACTCCTGATGCTGGCAGTGGAACCGGGACTCAGGTTCTGTTCCTGACCTGCTGTAGCCTCTGGTTCCCTGGATACGATAGGAAAGGTTGCCCTCCAGGCCTGGAAACTGTGCCCACCACAGTAGCTGTGGCTCTCTGCCCAGGAACACAGCTTTTAACAGGGAGGAGAGCTTCCCGGGAGGCAGGAGGTGACACCCAGCACTCAGTTTCTCCTCTTGGCCTTGCCCGAGGGACATTTCCCAGACCTAAATGTCTGAAACCCAATCTCCCCAACCCGCCCCCAGACCTGCAAGACCAGCTGGAATTCAGGTGCCCAAGGGTCCAAGCCCTGCTAAATCCACCCAGGGAGTCTATGACCCAGGGTCAGAGCTGGGCCAGACAGGAGCCCCAAACCCCGATGCGATGCGGTGTAGGCCTGATCCCGGCCCTGCCAGGGGAGGAGCCAGAAGACACTGAGAGGAAGGGGCAGAGGTCACCTGCAGAGCATGCTTAGAAGGAAGCCCAGACTGAGGAGGGCTCCTGCGGCTCTTCATCCACCCTCTGTCCCCCGCCCTGTGGAGTGGCATCCTCACCTGAAGGCTCCCTGCTAGGGTGCTGAGGCTGCCGGGAGGCCCCTCTTCTGCAGGACTGGGCAACACAGGCAGGTGGAAGCACCTGGGTGACTGGCCGCATTCCTTTGCTGACCCACCTCATCATTGGGGGTTAGTCCCTGGCCCACTCACAGTTCTCAGAAACCCCAGTTCGCAGCTGAGGCCAGGTTCCCGGACAGCCCAGCCCCTGCTCCAAGCCTGGTGCTGAGGCTGCCGGGAGGCCCCTCTTCTGCAGGACTGGGCAACACAGGCAGGTGGAAGCACCTGGGTGACTGGCCGCATTCCTTTGCTGACCCACCTCATCATTGGGGGTTAGTCCCTGGCCCACTCACAGTTCTCAGAAACCCCAGTTCGCAGCTGAGGCCAGGTTCCCGGACAGCCCAGCCCCTGCTCCAAGCCTCCTGGGCCCAGCAGCACAGGCCAGCCCGGCTCTGAAACGGAGGCCGCAGCCCTTACTGCAGGCTCACCTACACAA